GAAAATAGTTACTTCAAAGCTGTGGGGCTGTTCCTTAAGATAATCAATGAGCCACTGATCCTTTTCCAGACTGGGATTAATTGGTGACGTATGTCATGACAAATTGTGCAGCAAGAGATGCTGTACAGTCAGTAACTGTAAACCTACAACGTACCTTCATGGTGGATGTACCTGATAAGATGGCCAGTGAGTGTAGATACATCTAATAAACTGGTAACTCTGTGTAGTTCTAAGATTCAGCATCCAAGTACCCGCAATAAAGTGCCTGCTCTCTTTTTATAACCACATCAGCTGTTATTGAACCTATAAATATCAAGCGGTCTGACTATTCCTGACCAAGCATGACATTTCTCTTATGACTAGGTGTTCCAACATGTGACTGTACACATCACCTGAGGTGTGTCACTCAACCAACACAATCACAGCATGCAGGCTGTTGGGAAAAAGAGTCAGTCATGGTGAAACACATCACTTAAAGGTAAGTATTAGGAACAGTCAGTGCCCATTACAGCACACTAGGACAGTGTTTTGCAACTCAGAAACACGGAGGGTCCACTTGTTCTCCACATTTGTGTTTTCCCTGCACCCTGCACTTCCAGATATGGTACTGGAGAGCGAATACAAAACTGCTCAGTGCAGGTGCCCTACAGGACCAGTGAAAGAAGAAACTTTAAAGATTCTTGCTAAACTAGGGAGGCACCGATTTTTTCTCTTCTGAAATTGACAATGATATCTGAACTCAGGGTATGGGTCGACACTGAGTCCTGATCTGATGTCAGTGCTCTGTTAAAGCAATTGTGTTTTGTAGTAGCATATAGAAATAAACAGTAGGTGTAGGCGATATGGCAAAAATATGATCACAATATTTCAATACATTTTCACAAAACACGATACGCCATGATATTTATTTTTTCTGACATCTAATAAGTGGGAACAGAACAACATTAAAAAATACGATCAAAAACTATAGGTGCATTGTTTTTATCAGTATTACACACACTGCGCTACACTAAATGCAATTAATAAGGATTATTGTTCAGAATAGCAAGCTGTGACATAATTTATCATGAAAATGATAAATATCATAATATTTCCCAACCCTACAGTAGATGCTAATGCACCACAGTGGTCTACAAAGTTTATAAAACTGTTACAATTGTATAATGACCAGAACTAAGACACAGTGTTGAATACGGATCAGTCATATCTGCCCGATTTCCAGTCTGTTTAAAAAGATTCATATCTTGTGAGATATGATATTTAGTATATCTATCCATTTCGCAACTCTGTGCCGATGCCAATGTCCAAATTTTTTCATGTACATGTCTGCCAATGTCAGTACATAAACATTCCTAAATTGTAGAAACTGTGACTAAATCTGCCTGGATTAGCATTACAGAGATGTCTAACATTTAGTTGTATTAGGTGCAAATGTAGTAAAACAAATTAAATGCTGGCATTTTAGCACAGGAGCCCAAGATTACCTAAAGCTTTCACTCTTCTGTCGTACAATAAATACGTTATCAAATATTGGTTTTCAATATCAGTCAAATCTGTCCAATGCCAGTATTTGTTTTTAAGCAAATATCTGCTGATACTGATATTGACCAATATCATTGTGCAACACTACTGTTGAAAAGAGAACACGACTGACTTGCTGGAGTGGGAGCTATACTGTAAAACGTTGAATAACAGTGGCATTGTCCCACTATATTGATTTTACTATATTGCTGTGATACGCCCAATGAAGCAAAATCACACTGGCCACAATCTTACTTATGAGACAAATTAAAAATTGACATCATAATTGCTCTTATAAACTCACGGAAAAGTGTACACACAATTTAAAAACATGCACAAATATTTAGTGTAGAGTATATACCTCTTTTTTCACTTATCTGTTGTGCTATACTGAATGTAAATTACACACTACGGCAGAAAAGTAAACTTAGCTACAATTACTATTATTATTATTTGTATCAGTATATCATACTGTAATTGGCTGAATAGTGGGATATGAATTTGAGCTTATATTGCCACACTGACTGAATTGTATTACATAAAACATGAAAGCTTTTATTATACAAAAGCAAACAGTCCGATTTTCCAATGGCAAAACCCAATGTGACTTAAAAAATAACATATTACATATTTTATGCTCTACACTATAGGAGAGATTTTTGCAGTTAGCTAATTAACTGGGGCAAAAGTCAAGCATGTGGGTTCTGTTTGTTAGTAGTACACACAGAGAGCAATACAAAATGTTTTGTTTACACTACTCAGCATGATTTCCTTCCTATATGTTAGATCTCACTAGTGGTCCCAATATCATCCCTCCTGAACATCCGTGCTTTCACTGTGGCAAGTTTTTTTGTAACAAGGCACAACAGGCCAAAAAAAATAACATCTACAACAGCAGTGATTGATTCTGCTACTCATTTTAAGTATGTTTGAGCCTGAATCGATAAATGAAAGGATTAAATAAATGACAGGCTATAAATCACTTTTACTGTTATGACATAGTTTACTTATAATGTTGCTGGCATGAAGTATAATTTTCAGTAAAGCAAAGACATGTTCGAGGTCTAAAGTTTGCTTCTGTTTTTATTAGAGCTACGAGACTAATGCAGCTAAGAAGTAATTAAAGTTTATACCCAACCAATTAGCATGGTACATCTAAATCATTACTCATTTGCCTCAAATAATCTCAAATAGTCTTCATGTGGTTTCAGAAACTGTATGTCATACTGTTATCTATAAAAATGGACAAGGGCATGTTGCTTAGCTCAAAACAGTAATAGTCACCTTGTAGTCGTCGGCAGTATACTGGTCAAAATTCTGCCTCAGGTATGACATTATATGGGTACGCCACAAATAAGCGCAGATAATGCATTGCACAAACAGTGCACACCATGTTAACATTATCTCCTTTAGCTGGGTGGCTGAGCCAAGAGTGTTTCAGTCACTTTTAAAATGATAATGAAAAGGCAGCAGTCCCTCGATCACCTCCCACTGTCTAGCATGTTGCATCTGAAGTAGTCCGCTTTCTTTTTTAGGCAGCAGACATAAAGGAATTGCCGATCTTTTGGGGTTAGCCTTAGCCTAACATGGACACCAGACCAAACAGAGCGGTCTGAGGAACTGTGTAACTTGATCAGCTGCAGTAGATGACGCCGTCTCCCGACATCGTCTGCGCAACAAGCCATCTGGTACTGATAGCATAAATGACTGTAATATTTTCCAGATTCCGTCCGTTTCTGACAGTCAGAGGCATGAGGATATGGGTCGCACCTATGAGACAATTGATCTGAGAAATATGATGAAACTAAAGTTGTCTTGTTATTTGAATTTTCCATTCCACCTTAAATAGTGCAACAGTTACATTCAAGCTCCTGTACAGGTGCCAGAATGTACCTGTGCTCCAATTAAGGCGGAACAGAAAATTTGAACAAAAAGCTGGCTTTGCAGAAATTCAGATGTGACTCAACTTTTAGGACCATTCTTTCCTGGCCTGCGAGGCTAGTGTTAGAAAGCAATATTGACATAGGTTTATCCATATATTGTTCTTTTTTTTTACTATTTGGGACAATAAAAATATTTCAGATTTATGTGGGTTTTAAAAATAGCTCTTGAAAAGTGAGGGGTCATCCCAAAATCATAGGCTACTGTTAACCTACAAAAATAGCTTTAATTAACCCCTTATAATCCCAGGCTTATTACATACTAAGACTTATTATTCAGTAACTACAGGGACTTCAATGCAAATTGGCTGAGCTATTCTTATGGTTATGGAAGTGTGTATTAAAATTTAGGCCTGCTGATGGCCATTTAAGGGATTAAGCATCAGAAATGGTTTCATTTGAACATATATACATACTGCGATACATACAAAATCAGAAACTTTATTTATACCATGAAATAAATTGTTCACCATATTGCCTACTACTACCTTCTACTACCCTAATGTTTGTCTGTTTTCCATGTTTTTTTGAGGCATTAGAATAATTAAACTTCAGCACCAGCAGCACCCTAAACAATTCCACCCGTGCTTGATTATCTAAAAGTGGTGCCATAGAGTCTGTGCCTAACCAGCTGCTCTTAGTCAGGGCAATAAATCTCAGCTTCATCAATAATTAGGAATGCACAGCGGGGCACTCGTTTATTTATTTTGCCCCTTCTATCCTTGCTGTCCTCTGCAGTGGAAGTTATCTCTAAATCTGCACCAAGACTGTTGGGATGTCGTCCCACCATTGTTCAGAAATGAAACCTCAGTTATACTGTTCATTATCAAAGAATGTGTTTGTGTACAAGCCGAGCATCTTATCCACCCTGTGCATCCGGGCTGCCACGCTGCAGGGCTCTGGTGCTTGGGCCCCTTTCTGCAGTCAGAATCACATGACATATTGTAATAATGCAAGAGCACCAGCTGACCCAGATGGAACATCCTCTTCTAGTGCCAAACCTGCTTACGGCACAGCCTCCTGATCAAATCCTAGATATTTATAGAGTACCATTCACAGGGAGGCAGGCAGCTCTGTTCAATTCAGCTGGCTGTCTATCACTGTATGGGCCGCTCTGACACTCTTAGCAACCAGCAGGTGGAAGAAAAGCTTAAGAGGGCTGAGGGGGATGCGCGGTGTCCATCCTAGTGATGCATTACTCGTGCTTGTCTCCATCCATGAAGACCTGCCATTAGCACCAATGGCGCTGAAGACACGCCAGTATGCAATGGGCATAGACGGAGCTTACGTAAATAAACCTGACCGGCTCCGTATGACCGTGAACACCAACAAGACCAGCACTAACTGTCTCAGCACGTTATAATTAGCACTGGGGGCGATGTCTGCTGAGAAGATAAAGCCAGGATAGCCTACAGTTTGCCAAAGCATCATTTCAAGAGCAGGAACGAGCGAAGCTGTAAAGTGTCAGTCAGCGAATGTAGTGACAGTGACGAGTCGACTTCCGCAGCGGAAGCCTTTGAAAAAGAAATGGTGATTTACCTTCTGAAACGCTAAGACACCGTAACGTCCGGGCTCCGCTCTCCGCTCCTGGCTGACTGACCTTGTCAGTGTTGCAGGAAGACGCTCTAAACACACTGTTTGAATTCGTCGCTTTCCAAACCGTAGCGATGACGTCGATGGGCGAGGGGAGGGTGTGTATACGTGTGCACGCGGATGCGTGTATGTGTGCGCGCGCGCGCTCGCGCGCGTGTGTGTGTGGACCTGCTGCTGCTAGAGCTAAGAAGGAGCTCCAATAGCGGAGCAGCACGGCGATGGGTGGAGAAGGGGCGGCTGGCTGGAGGATGTTTCTCATTCTGAGGTTTAACTGATGCCGCATGTGAGCCGTTAGCGCCTCCCTCCCCTTACTGATGCTTCCATGGTTCCACTGGACGAGCCAATAGAAGTAGGTCAGCCCGGCTCATCCCGGATTAGTTTAAAGTTAGCCTGAGTAAAGCCCCGTAAACACACGCCGTCGGTCCAGTGCTGCTAATGTGCCTTCAGTCAAAGCACAAGATCAGTTTTTGCACGACGTTATATTTGCTTTTTTATTGATTTGACAATAGAGTTGTTAATTTAGCGTGTTAAATTGCCCTTTAAATTGTTATGTGATCGAACTAAAAATACAAATGATGATGATGATGATGATGATCACCAACACTACTCTTCATCTTCTACTACTACTACTATTACTAAAGCTATTACCAATACTACTATTACTATTACTATTACTACTATTACTGATACTACTTACTGCAACTGTTACTACTGTTATTCCTACTACTATTACTCATACTAATAGTACTATTACTAATACTATTCCACTGCTACTGTTACGGCTACTAATAATCATACTAATACTACTCTTCTACAACAACTACTAATACTACTATTACCAATACTAATATTACTATTACTAATACTAATACTACTCTACTACTACTATCACTAATACTACTTTCTGTAACTGTTACTACCCAACTAACACACAACTTTGTCACAACTTTGTTTACTTTTGTACAACATTGCTGCAATGTTGTCAGTAGGTGGTGCTGTTTACATTGTCTGAACAAGGTTGTCACAATGTTGTTACAAACTCATTATTAAGTAACATTGCTGTGCGGTAATATGACTAGCTGTAGAGCAGTTAGTTCTGGCCACACAAGCTGATTGGTTGAGAAGTGTTCTAACCGTGCTGTTTTTTCACCATAACATCACGGTTTTTTTTCACAAACACTGTATCACTCCGCTGAGACGCTGTTGCTAAGCAACGACTTTGACAGCTGTAGGAGACGCTCAAGCCATTTGAACGTTTTTACTTCTTACTTTGCCACAAACAGAAAATGGATACTTTTAAGATCACATTTGACCGACAGCTGATTTGTTCAGACTCTGAAGATGAGACTACACTAAATTCCCAAACTGTCTGTTGGTCTGTGTAAGGAGCTGGAGCAGCGAGTGAGCGGAGCTCATTACTCTGATGTAGCAACAAGCTGCTTGTTAAGGAACTATAATTTGGCAGAAGGAACTGCGAACATTAAAACATATTAAACGCCGCGTTCACGGCCCAGTTTATTAATTTATTACTTTATTTATTTAACTGTTGCATAAAAGCAACGGAACACTCGAGGTCGTGTGTTATCGTGAAATGACATCACAGCCGTGATGTTATTTCGCAATAACACACTCCCTCTCATGTTCTATTGCTTAAGTAGAGTTCCATGCACAAAACAATGGAAGCATTCTAGGACATTGTGAGAACGTACCGACAGTGTTGCCACTACGTTGTCACAATGTTGTTGGATAACATTGTCACAACTTTCTGAGGAAAGGTTACATTTCAACGTTGTGACAATGATGTGGGCACCCAAACAATAGGTTGTCACAATGTTGTCACAACATAACTGTATTTGCTGGGTACTATTACTGCTATCAATACTGTTATTACTAATACTAATACTACTATTACTAGTACTATTACCAATACTACTAGTACTGATAGTATTATTATACTATACTACTTCTAATAACACCCTACTACTACTTATACTACTTACTGCTACTGTTACTACAACTAATATTACTCTACTAATACTACTTTTATTAGTAGCAATAAATAGTAGAACTAATCCTACTATTACTAATACCATCCTCAATTTGGGACAGTATGTGAATTTTTCAGAAAAAAAACAGAACAATGAGTTTAGTAAATTGTGTTGACCTGTATTAAATTAAAAACAGTACAAAAACACAATATTTATTTATTTATTTTTACATTATAAGCTATATTGTATTTTTTTGTAAATATACAAAAATATATGTTGTTGACATATGGCTTCCATTGAGCATAGCATAGTCTGAGCACAGTCTTACCTTGCATTTGTGGATGCAATGATGAACAGTGTTTATTGACAGTGGGTTGTCAAAGTATCCTTGAGCTCATGCAGCGATAATTATCACAGAAGCATGCCAGTTTTTAATGCAGCCTTGTTTGAGGGATTAAACTTCATGTGCATAGTTTTGGTTTGGTTTGCCGTTCCTGGAGCTCCTTTTATAGTCAAGCATGATTGCATCACCTGTTGAAGGTGTTTTTTGAACAGTTCACTATTTCTGATCTTAAATTGCCCCATGTTCAAACTTTTTTTTTACAATGTGTTCAGGCAACAATTACAGAATGAGCATATATTTGCAAAGAAAAACATGAACAGGTAAAACATTGACAGCTAAAACATTATGTCTTTGTACTGTTTGCACTGAAATATAGGTCAAAGTGGATTTACAAATCACTGTTCTCTGTTTTTATTTGCATTTCACAGACATTTCCCAACAATTTTGGAATTGAGGTTTGTACTAAATTGAGGTTTGTACTAATGCTACTACATATAATACAACTACTACTACTATTAATACCATTATTACTACTATGTATACTAATACTACAACTTCTGTACTATTATTACTAACAACAACAATAATGATAACCGTAATTATTGCACCATGGTGTAATGTTTGTGTGGTTGCGTCATGTTTTAAAGGCTATGCCCGAAAAGCTCTGGGTTCACTCCATGTGTTGGAACAAATATGACGTAGATGCTGTGGCTGTGGTTTGCGCTCAAGATTGAGGTAAAAAGAAATGACTAAAAGACTAGCACACTACATGCAACAGTTTAGGCAATCCTGGTTTAAGTACACTGTAAAGAACAGAGAAAACTTGATAAGACTGTTATCAAAATCATTGGGCATGACAAACATAAACTATATTTCCAAAAAAGTTTGCCAAAACACCTGTTATTCCAGGATTTCCTCTGAAATCAAGGGTATTAATAGGGAGTTTGTCCCTCTTTGCTGCAGTAACAGCCTCTGCTTTTCTGGGAAGACTTTACACTAGATGGAACAGTGTTGTGAGGATTTGGTGAGGTCAGGTACTGATCCTGGATGATTAATTCTGGATCACAAACGTCACTTCAACTCATCCCAAAGGTATCTGGGCTCCATCACTCCAGAGAACACAGTTCTACTGCTCCACAGCTTTGTAACGCTTGGCTTGGTGACCTTAGGCTCATATGTAGCTGCTCCGTAGTGTCCCATTCTATTGGAAATACTTTTCTATGGAGATTGCACAAGCTGTGAGAGTGCGATTGAACCTGTATCAGCGATGGGTGACCTTACAGTAGCTGAATTCACTAATTAGAAGTGCTGTCTATAAACATTTGGACATACAGTGTTAATACCATCAATAACAGAATGATGTGAATAAAACTGATTTAAGAGTGCCACTCTAATATGAAGCTGATTAGTGAAAAGGGGTCAAGAACAAGATTATACAAATCCACAGATTACTCCAATTTGAGTCAGTGATGTTGTTTACACAGTGTTTGGGTGATTAAGGTATTTAGTAAATTTCACAAATGTTATCAAACCTGCAACAACAGTTCCACTCGCCTGTACTGGTAAGTATATGATACAAGGATCACATTAAAAAGGAATTCCACTGATTTTTCAAAATTCTTGAAGAATTAAATGGTTGAGACAAACAAACAAAGTCATTCAGACTGGTTTGATGTGAAATGGTTAATAGTAGAGGAACATAATGATTTGGATTTTCTTTACAGTGGTGGCCATAGGAACCAGGGGTTTTAATATCTATGATGCAACTATAGCCATTTCATTTGCTGTTCAGAACAACCGTCAAACCTACATGAGTCTTCTGGTGTTTTATATGTAATGTTGATATTGATAAAATAGTGGTAAATAGAGGTAAACATGTTCTCTTTACGAACTATTATGTATGTATCTCTCCACCAAGAATTGATTTAAAAAATATATAATTTATCCCAAAAGTTGATCTCAAAACTATAGAAAAGCAGTGTCTCAGGCATCAGGTAATGTATTTGTAACCATTTCATGTAAGAACTTTCTGTGGGGTAGCTTCTAGAGGCGTTAAATGATTCAGATAACTGTTGTGAACGATTCTGACTCTGTATGTTTCTCTAGAAAGCAGCATTCCACATCAAACCATTCAATTATTTTGTACACATCTGAACAATTGTATTATATAGGAATTTTGAAAAAATCAGTGGATTTTCTCTGTACTGTTGGTGGGAAGATGATATGTAGCCACATGTTGTTCACACCAAGCTCTAAGCTAAGAAATGATATGATGCATCACATCCAATGCCTGTCGAACAAAGAAGATAATAAAAGTTGGGATCATGTATTTCAGTCTATAATAGAGCTTAAAATAGTGAGTTCCAGAAATGATATTTTTAATTTACTTCACATTTTTTATTAATATAATATGATTATGGATGTATAACTTGTGTAAGTTTATGTTTTTAAAGGCATATTTGGAGTGAATGTGAAAAGGCCAGGTAGATTAGGTTTGGTCACATTTTCAGGGAAACACAGTGTATTTTTTACACTGCTTACTATATTTTTATCTTCTATGTGGGTCGTAATTTTAGTAAGATGATTACATCTTTGCACTGTGAATTGTATTCACTGGGCGGTTTCTATGCGACTTGATTTGGATGTGACAATAGAACCACGATGTTGTGTTGAGTGTTTATGCACTGAAGAAGGTCACGTGTGATGTTTTTCTCTATTATTGTTCCGTTTTAAAGATCTCACTTAAATTATTTATAGTCTTTTTTTATTACTGTGCAGACCTTTCCTGAA